TCTGTGATTCTGTGATTCTGTGATTATTTTCTACTGGCATAAGTCTTCTAAGGTCTGACTGGTTGTTACTGAGTGGAAAATCAGTCCTGGTGTGCACATCATATCCTGTTCTGTGGCTTTTTGCAAGACCAATTCTTCTGTCTAGATCTTATGACTTTATTGTACAGTAGTCTAGTTCTTTATACCAATTTTGATGGAAATAACTCGTTTGTTTTGTGGTAAGGCAACACTCCTGCTTTAGCTGCAAGTGTTCCAACTCTGATTTGAAGTACCTGAATGTAGCTGAGCTGACATATTCACATTTTACCAAACAGCAAAAAACCATGTATGAGTGTCCTCAGACAAGAAATCAGAATTCAGTCACTCATGTTACTAAACATCTCAGCACCCACAGACCAGAGTAGCCATCGTTTTTAATTTTTGCAAACTACAGAACTATATTTTGTGCAGAAATAATGTAGAGGATTCTCAATTAAATGAAAACAAGTGTGTAGGAGGGCATAATAAGTTGAAATACTTGCACATTTTCCAGGAGAGGAATAAACCTTTAAAGACGCTGCAGTGTAAAAAGGTATTACAGTACCATCAATAAGAAATGAAGATTCAATTTTTAAACAATTGTTCCATCTCACATGCACACATTGCAGATGGTCCATGAGAAAATTACTTCAAATTACTAATAGACTACACAAAGTTGTGTTCTCTTTTTTTTTTGTTTTCCAGAGCAGTCATGTAACAGCTCTTTTTTTATGTGCAAAAGTGGCAAGTGTATTCCTCAAAGTGATGTTTGTGATAACAAAGAAGATTGTAGTGATGGATCTGATGAGAAAAGCTGCCACATTAATGAATGCCTCAGCAAGAAAGTTAGCGGCTGTTCTCAAGATTGTCAGGATCTTCCTGTTGGATACAAGGTGAATAATTACAAAATGTGGTGTAATGTAATGCAATTTCTTAAGTGTTTTCATAACTACTGTGTGATTATAATAAAACTTCAGGTAGCTTTGCTACCATAGTAAGAACATTCAAACTTTTATTTTAAGTAAGCAAACAATTACCAATTGTATTAAAAAAAAACTCATAAAATGCATATTTTAAATCTATGGAAAAGAACATAGAGGGCTTTAAATACAGCAGATCATACTGATGTATACAGAGCTCTGAAAAACACATAGAAGTGAATAGCAGGGATAACAGGTTTTTTCTAAGTCAAAGACACGTCTAGAAATATTCAAAGAAAGTAAAATTGCCTTATTTGCAGAATAAAACCATTAGTTATCTGCATGTGTTGGTGTTTTCTGAATCACCTGAATTGGCTCTTTGGCCTTGAGACGTAGAAAGGAATATTTCTTGGGTACTACGTAAACCCCAGCCACTGACTGCACTAACCTGTCCACAGGAGCTGAGAACAGACGAGATTTTTGAGGGATTTTAACTCTGAAGGAACCCTAACTGCACACCCAGATATTTTATATTTTAGTAGAATATTGGCACACTGAGAAATGAATAAAATCTGTTCAACACAGTGAAGCTCTAAAGGTATTCAAACCTCTGAAACTGTGTCCTAGGTGGGAGGCCACAGACCAGGGAGCTGGAGACTGGGTTGGGTACAGCAAAAACCTTTTTGAAGTACCATCTTTATGGAGAAATCATGTCATGGGGCTCTACAGAGAATGATAGAGGATTAAGAGTGAACATGACAAAGTTTTCCATTGATGAAGCTGTGCCCCTATTTCAAAACCTCTCTACCCAATTGTATTTTGCATTGCTCACATTGCATGTGATAAGGCTTGCCATGGTGATCACCAGACCCCAATAAAAACAATCTTCAGGAGTTCTCATTCACATTTCTGCATCTGTTACATAGATTGCTAGATGTGATCAATGCTTCAAGAAAAATCATTAAAAACTGCATATCTTTACCAAAAAGCACATATGTACTTGAAAATAATGGACTCCAAAGGGTCCATCCATCATTATTTCCATGGAAGAATCCTTTCCATATTTGTAAGAAGATTTGTTTTACTTTTTCCTCAGTTATAGAAGAGTAATTACTCATTCTACAGGGTTATTTAATGGGGAATGGTACTTAGGATCACACCAGCAATAGTAGGTATGTCTGCCTGCAAACAGCGTAAATAGCAGTGTAATTAAGATACCACTTAAAAACCTGAAACTACATGAAAAAGATTTTAATACTGACATATTCAGAAGAAAGGCCATAAGATAACAAACAGAATTAATGAGTAATTCAAAAGGAATGTATTTGTTTTTCTTTCCCAGTGCAAGTGCTGGCCTGGATTCCGGCTGAAGGATGATGGCAAAACATGTATAGATATTGATGAATGTTCCTCTGGATTTCCCTGTAGCCAGCAATGTATCAACACATATGGAACTTACAAATGCCTGTGTGCAGATGGGTATGAAATACAGCCTGATAACCCAAATGGCTGCAAATCCCTTTCAGGTATCACTTTTTTTTCTTTTTATCCACAACTGTATCCAAAATAATTTGTGAAATACCTTAGCCTTAGGTCTGTGTTGCCCTTTTATGCAAGGCAAACAGAATTACTTTGAAGCACACTTCAGTAAAGCATAAAAATGTGATTCAATGTTTGAATGTAATAAAAAGTTCTGTTTTATGCATTAAGTTCAAATCGTTTTTAGTGAATAGAGTGGCTTATGAAAGTTTGAATTAGTAACCTCATTAGAAGTATTAGTAAAGTTAAAATATTTAATTCTGCTTTTGAATCACATGATAATAGTAAGGTTATGATAAGTGTTTGAAAGACTTCAGCTGTTTTATGCCATTAACTCTAGAATATTAGAACATATTTCAAGCTTCCTGGTATAAAAAAGAGGAATAGGAAGAAAAGAATAGAAACTGCAAAAGCCATTATTCCTGTAGCACATGAAAGCCCCCAGTCTTATATGTGATATGCAGTAAAGTTCAAGATAGCTAAGAACATTGGTTATTTCCTCACCCCTCTGTCTATGGCACTAATGTTATTTTTTATGTGCTTCAGTAAGTAGGATTTGCTAGATCAGAGAAAGGAAGAGTGAAATGTCAACAGAAAGAAAAAACAAAAACACATTAAAAAACCCAAAACAAAACAAAAGACTCATTACTGCATTCTGCTGGATTTCCTTCATAGCGCAGGCAATCTTCAGCTTGAGCAGACTCCTCCTTATTCAAGTCTTCCACAAAATTTTTCGTGTTATGTTTTTGAATATCAAAACCTATCTATTTTCTTTCTAAATGACACAAAGACTGGAACCTCTGTCTGCCTCCTATTCCTGTCTCGGGAACTTCCCTGAGACATCAGAGGAAATACAAGAGAGGACAGAGATCCGGGATCTGGCTTTTGCATTGCTCCTATCTCACACCTTGCAAGCCACTCACGCATTTAGAAGCCATAGATCACCCAAATGAGAAGGGGAGCTGGAACACATCATAGTACAGTTTATTGGAGCTGTAGTATATCAAACCTCAGAAGTGACCATGACAAAGCTGTTTGTGCTGTGGCAAGGACAGTTGTGCTGAGAGGAGCTGCCAACATGTGAATATTTAGCCTAATGCTGATTTTTGCATAAATTGAAATCTTTACAACAGAGCAGAGCATTGCAGCCATTCTCCACACACCACTGACACTCAGTGCTGAGGATGGTGCCTCGGATCATTAAAGAACTGGAAAATGTCTTAAAAGTTGAACAAAACATGCAAGCAAAGTGGTACAATATATTCAGTAAAAGAGGAGAGTAGGTTGTACAACATGTTACGTTCCAGAATGTATGAACAGTAGATATAAATCTTAAATATGTATTATACATATGTATTTTTTATTATTATATATGTTTCAAAGTGATGGCATGAATGCATGTCTGAAGGATTTTTTTTCTTAATAAACTAGAAAACCAGGTGTAAAAAAGCCAAATCTGGTTCCCGTTCAGAAATAGAGAATCAAGGTTTTTCCAAATAGCTGTTGCTTTACGTCTAGACTGTTCAGAGTATCAAAATCTCAAAAAACAGTTGTCAGAAAGTGCTTGGTTTGCAACCATAACAAATAAGTGTCTTGGTAATAATTTGAAAGTGAATGCTGAAATTAAAACAAGTGGTGTGAAATATATTTCAAATTTAATCTCTTACTTTAAATCAGCATAAAATACAGTATGGTTCCCATATTACAAAGACAAAAAAAAAATTACATTGAAAGATATACTAATGGATTGCTTTGTTCATTTTTATACTGCATCATTGATCTTTCTTGGAACATTTGAATGTTTTAAATATTTCTTTCATCCATAACATTGATCAGAGCATGTAACATTTATTTTTCAAACCATCTGTATTTCAGCATTGTATTCCTGATTTTCCATAAATTAACGTAAAAGTTAGTCTAATATATTCTTTCTCCCGGGGTTTAGATGAGGAGCCTTTCTTAATTCTGGCTGATCATCATGAAATAAGAAAAATTAGCACTGATGGATCCAACTACACTTTGTTGAAACAGGTATAATCATAGTACCATGCTCTAAGTTTAACTCAATACTTTTATTCTTTTCTAAAGTGTGCAACTGGCAGGAACATCATCCTTCAATTGGCATTGTATGCACCCCAGAACAACTGCAGTATCGTCAGAGTTTTTATAATATTTTAAATTGACTATTTGATCTGAATTTTACGTGATTAAAGCTCAGGCAGTTGTTTCCTCAGTCATTCTGATGTACTGAAAAAATTGTTATTTACGATACTCTTCCATCGTGATACAATTTGTGCAATTGGTATATTTCAGTTTAAAACCAAAACAAACAAACTATTTGGCCATGTATTATTTGGGCTACTTACTGTTGTAATCCAAATCTATTTTTTTGGTTTAGACAGACAATTCCAGGATTTATAATATTACAAGATGTGAACGTATATCTTTGGCTAAATCAATCTTTAAGTAATTACTCTAAATTATTATAAGAAGAAAAAAAAAACTGATTTGAAAAAAAACCTACAGAATAAAGTCACACAGTAAGTACAGAGCTGTCATTTGTAGCAGTTTCTGCTCTGCTTGTATGCTTCACCTAAGTGTAGTTACTGACCATAGATTAGTGTTCTGAAATAGGTTTTAATAAAAACATCTATTTCCTTGAGTACTAATTAATGAACTGTAGAAAGACTAGAAAATCAGTTATTGCCAGGCAATAGCATTAGGCTTTTTGTGACTTCATGTGTCAGTAAGCTGCGCATCTTGATGTTGCAAGAGAGATGCTCAGATCTTCACGACAGTAATTACTAAATTAACCATCTTGCATTAAACATTGACTTTATTTAGGCATAGCAAGCATTATGTTAAAGTCTGTCTGTTCTTCTGAAATCCCTCTGACTACCTTTCACTTGCATCTCACTGCCTTTCTCCTCTTTTGCTGGCATCTCTATTAAGTGAAGCCTGTGAGAAGAGAGGAGCAGCAGTCCATTTTCTTTATGGTTGGTGCTGACAGACTGGCTCTCAGAGCTTCGTCGGTCTTGAATTTAATGAACTCCTCTTCAGTATTTTAGAGACCGTGTAGCTCCAGCCATCGAAGAGAATCTCTATTTTCCATATCACATTCATTCTCTAGTCTAACAAATCCCTCTGCTATTGAACCTACTGGCATTTGATCCTACAAATACAGTATTTTTAAAAGCATCAGGATTTGAAAGCAGAAGAGGGAGCTATGCCAGCAGAACAGGTGGGCTGTCTTCCTCATAAGGACACCTTTTTGTCCTTGTAATGTTATGATGGATCGACTCTGTCTTACCCATCTAACAGATGAAGGCAAATACCAGAGCTGTCCTGGCAAAGGAGCAAACCCACCCTTCTCTGTGTATTTGATCCATGTTTTGCCATCCTAACAGTTGTTCATATCCACTCAGAGTGAAGGAGCTGAAAGTAGGAATTCAGTCTACTCTGAGTTGTTATGTGCCAGCTTTTTCCTCTTTTTTTTTCCCAAAACACATAAACAGTCTAACTGTTTGAATTGTGTCTCATGTATGTTCTTTTCCTTCCATTTCCTTCACTCCTAGTCATCAAAATTCATAGAGTTTTCATAGACAGGGTAGAGAGAAAGTTCCTCCTCATTATTAGTGATTTTTGCCCCTATTTTTGAAAAATACAGGTACCAAGGCATTGCAAATCAGAGCCTAGGATACCATGTGCTGAGTGTAACAGAAACAAAGAAATCCACAGGTTTAAGATGAGAAGCCGATGCCATTTGAATGCTTCCCTATTCCTTCTAGAAGCAGATTACACCAGAAATGACAAAGAATTATGATAGGAAGACTAAAAAGTGACCGGTAGATCACAAAGAGATGTTGCCTGGACAGAGAACTATATTGCAGATGTACAGAAATAATTTTACCTGCAGTAGTAAACGCAAATTAAAACATTTGAAATCAAAGACCAAAGGCAGTCAATTCTCTATTAGTCTGAGTACTTCAAAAACTTTTACAGTGTTTTAGAATATGTAGATATAAGGCTAATTTTCCACAAATTACTGACCTTGATTTCTAGAATGTTATAAATTTGTGGTAGTCTTTTGTATCCATTCATCTGCTGTCTCCTTTGTTAAGAATTTAGGGTGAGGGTTTTATCTGTAGATGCATTTATACTTGTAGCAAAATAGAGGAGAAGAGTGTTTTGCAGCACAGTTATTACTGACAGAGCTGCAGTTGGTTTTGTTGAAACACTGTGTGCATGGATATGTGATTTTTGATGATGAAAGCAGTCCTCCAACGCTGTATTATCTCAGGCTGTCTTTAATGATGGTTTGTGCAGCCTAGTCACTCTTTTCCACTACATTTTGATGAACAGATAGATTTACAGTGTGATGCTGTGGTCATTGGCAGATAAGCCCTGTATCACTTTCTGTACAGTTAAATACTGTTGTTCTTAGTTGTTTATTTTTGAGCGGGCCAATCCAGAACACGCCCTCCACAGCTAAGAATTACATTAAGGAGGAAGGTTGCTGCTCTACCAGAGAGCAAAATGTCATGAGGCTGATAACAGAGTTTATTCACTCATCTTGCAGTTTTAACAGGAGAGCAAACTGCATCTGTTCTTTTTACCACTGCTGCTCCCTCTTTGGTTGATAACATCTTTGTACATGGAGTATAATTGTGATTTTACTACATATCAGAATGTTAAATGGATTCTGAGGCAAGGCTTTCCTATTCTAAACTAATACAATAAGTGCTTTCGTCTGAACACAGTATCTCTTTTTCTTATCTGCCATTTGGGATGAGAAGCCATCTTTCCAGGCTATAGATGTACCTCCAATATGATCCCCACTCTTTCTTACAATGTATTGGCTTAGTAATTGGAGCTATAGACTTCCAGATGCCTACTGGATCTCAAATTCTCTCACTGCATGATATACTACCTGTGTGTGTGTGTGTATATGCACATACATATATGCACATGGTACCTATAATACAGCATCTAAGAATTTAAAACCTCCTTACTTAGGAATTAAAATTTATGACTTTTATGACCTTCACAGTTTTGATTTCCTGATTAATTTATATCAACAATGATATGTTTTCATTAACTAAAGGTTTTGTGCTTTTTTCCGAGTTTATTGTTATAAAATGAAGGTCATCCAGTTTGTAATACCAAAGTTAATAACTAACAGAGAAATTGAACAAAAGTTAAAATATTTGCTGTTAAAGTTCATTTTAATATTAGGAATGAAAATCACAGAAGCTTCATTTCATTTCATACATCATCTGCACTTTTGAAGTGAGATAGCTCTTTGTTGCCATATTTATTTTTGTTACAATTTTTATCTTATTATTTACAAGTAAAGTAAGGAAAAATGAGAGAAGTACTTAAAAAATTTAAGTCAGTAAAGTAAAGCATTTTGAATATTGCATGCAATGTATTTTGCATTCTGAATGCTATCCAGCAGTTTGTATTCCAACATTTGAATAAATGGACCTTTTTTTTCCTGGTTTTAGGGGCTGAACAATGTGATTGCAATAGACTTTGACTACAGAGAAGAGTTCATCTATTGGATTGACTCCAGCAGACCAAACGGCAGCCGCATAAACAGAATGAGTTTAAACGGAAGTGACGTCAAGGTAAGTGGGAATTAATGAAGTCACTATTAGAATTAAATTTTTTGAGTGTTTTGGGAAATGCTCTTTCATGCTTTTAACCCAGATTGTGAGGTTTTGGTATCTGCATTCAAACACAGCATGAGCTAGAAAGTTCTGGTCAAATTTAATTGCATTTGTATCTTATTTGAAGTAGAGAGAGAGACTAAGAGGACTATTTATGAGCTAAATTCCTTATGACTTAATTGACTGAATTGGCAGTTCAGTGGGGTTTACAGGACACAAAAGAAGAGGTGTTAATTGTGTAAATACACTGATATAATATATCTTCATGCACAATTTTCTGTGGTCTTCAGTTTGGTTTTTGTCTCACCTCCACCACACTGATAATGAAAAGAACTCAATGTCCTTGCTGTGAATAATCTGGGGTAAAACTGCTCTCCCATTTCTGCACAGCCTGTCTGTTTTGCCTCTGTAGTGGTATAAATTCACAAATCCACTATTAAGCACATTTGTTGACTTACGTGAACAATTCTCCAGGATTTGTGATAGGCAGTAAGAAAATCTTCTTCGTTTATTTTCTTAATGTCTTACCCTTTTAAACATGGAACAAATGAGCAGTAACATATGCTGTGAATTTTGTTCCCTCATTCCACACCAGCAAATTATGCAGAGAGACAAGATTTTTGTTTTTCATTTGCAGCTTAGTCCATGGAGTGCTACACACCCCTTTAGTCTTTTTGAGGGCTAAGGTTTGAAGCTGACTGGCATCAGTGAACCTTGTTTCCACCCTTCACACAGAAATAAATGTTCTTAGACCTTAAAAAAAATGTGGATGAGCATAAGTGATGATACACTGCATTGTAAAACTCAAATCCAGCACGCACTGAAAAGTTGTAGCAAATCCCTGCAGTCTTCCTGCAAAAACTAAGGGATGGGCAAGTGTGGGGTTCAGAAGTCCGTTAAATCCTTGAGTCGTATTTGTTGCTTCAGACATATTGCAAAGCGTCCTATTCAGCTGCTTCTCCATTCTAGATGAATCTCTATTTTGTTATTTTAGGGAAATTTTTCAGGACAGGGGATGACCCCAGACTTTATTTTAATTATTTCAAGAACAACCAAGAATTTTTCCCAGTCATAAAGCTGTAACTGCTAGGTGGGAGATTGCAAAAACCTCCTATTTGCTTTCTAAAGATGTAATAATAATCCAGGTTTTTGATGGAAATTTAAACAAACGTTAGAAGAAAATCAGGTAGAGGACACGGAGGATATTTATCTTTCCTTCATTATTGATTTACAATTTACAGAATGAGTGTCGTCTTGTTGTAGATTTTGCCCAAATAGGATATCTAATGCAGAACAAAAATTGTGAAAAGAAGTGCACTTAATTTTCATGTTGGTTTTTTTTCACTGAAAAACTTGTCCCAAATTTGACCTTGGAAAGCTCAAAATATCAATAATTTTATATTGTAGTTGTCTGATATTGCCAGTAATGTTTTATCCAGTGCCAAATGATAAATTTATGTCTCTTTGAGTTAGACTTTAATAGGTTACGACAGCACATACTTAGTAACTGACTTTACAAATAGTTAGTTTCCCTGTAAACCTGTTTTAGGTTTAAATATTATAAATATTTTAGTTTATTTTTGTCATGAAGGAGGGGTTTTATGGTTGCAACATTCTACCTTGAGGTATTAATTTATTGGTTTATTTCCTTCATACTTCTTTTTTTGCTATTTACTATAAATAAAGATGCTATTAGTGCAAATGATACTATTTGATATATTACCTAGGATTTGCCATTTAGAACATAGCATCTTTTCAGCGTACCAACTCTAGCTTCCTTGGTCTGGGAAACCTGATGGCATCTCATTTTTCTTCTGCATCTGATCATGGAGGAGATATTTATACAATTGAAGCAACAAGTTGATCACATAAATGTGTTCACACATTAACACTGTGTCTAATGTAGAGTATTGCAGGCTCAAATGACATTTGTTATTGGAAAATGCTGCAGTAAGCTGGATTGTGTACATTAAATGTCACACTGGTGATCTCAGTGGCTGGAATAAGCTTAAAGTGACCCTCTAAAGGACAAGTCATCAGGAAAGTGAGACTAATTACTTTGGTTGATGCTTCCAGATAGTGTAGCTAAACCACTAGCTGCGTTTGCAGAGCTGGTTTTACATGAAATGTCCCATGGTACAGTGCACCGGTTGCTACAATTACACATTTATAAAACAGTGAGGCTGGTATTGCTAAGGTATTAGAAAATAAAGTGGTTTATTCATATTTAAATATCGGTGCTTGCCTGGATTTAATTTTAAAAAGATCTTATAAGGTGATAAATAATGTAATGACCTGAGAGGGTGCTCTCACATATTCATAACTATAAAATTAAAGTATTTCACAGTATCCCTTCTTATCTTGAAGGCTTTTTGGTATCTTCAAATGGTAAATAAAATTAAAAATAACGCATTCAATTATACATAATCAGTTTTACATGTAAGGTTTATACTCTAGTGCACATGCTTTTAGTGGTAAAGATGACAATAAATTAGAAGGTACACTACAGTAATGACCCCATTATCAGTACTTAAGAAATCTCAAATATTTTGTATTTATACTAAGTATTGCACACTCTGATTTTTTTTTTTTTTCCTTAAGTTCTAGTTGCACAAACCTGATCAGGACACAATCAGGAATAGAACAGATCAGAATAGATCTTATCAAGAATAGTATTTTTAAGCCTAGAAGAAGTTGGGTCTAATGATTGGGAATAATCAAATGTCACTCAACACTTAACATGAAGTGCTCCCAGCCATGAGTCATATACAGTCATTATGAGATCTGTAATCATGTGTGTCTAGAGGCATTTGTTCAAGTCTAAAATTATTCAAGTCATCAAAAACCTTGAAAATATCACATCCCTGTCACTAGAGCGTAGGCTTTCCACTAGGCCACTAAATTGCTTCTGTCTCTTAGTTTATTCATTAACAATCACAGAATCACACAGAACCACAGAATATTAGGAGTTGGAAGGGACCTTGAAGAATCATCCAGTCCAACCCCTGCCAGAGCAGGATCACCAGACCAGGTCACACAGGAAGGCGTCCAGGCGGGTTTTGAATGTCTCCAGATAAGGAGACTCCACAACCTCTCTGGGCAGCCTGGGCCATGCTGTGTCACCCTCACAGTGAAAAAGTTTTTCCTCATGTTCACATGGAACCTCCTATGCTCCAGCTTGCTCCCATTGCCCCTTGTCCTGTCATTGGACATCACAGAGCAGAGCCTGGCTCCTTCCTCCTGACACTGCCCTTTACAAATTTATAACCATGAATGAGGTCACCCCTCAGTCTCCTCTGCTCCAAGTTAAAGAGCCCCAGCTCCCTCAGCCGCTCCTCATAAGGGAGATGCTCCACTCCCTCCATCAACTCTGTGGCTCTGCGCTGAACTCTTTCAAGCAGTTCTCTTAATAATTATAATAATAATTAATAATAGTAATTAATAATGTAGTCTTGTGAAATTTAACTAATTCTCAGAAAGTTTCTCTTTCTTCTGCCGTGTAGATGTGGGAAATAAGAGCACAGTATTTACTTTCCAACTAGGTAATCTTTTTCTGTTTGCCTGAGTTGAGTGCACTTATCTCCTATCTATCATGGTGACATATGGCCCCACTGTGATATTAAAATGAAATATATGCCGATGAAGACTGGTGAGCTAACTGGTGAGTTTATTAGCAGGCATGTTTGAGAACGTGCTACGGGGAGCATAACAGAGTAATAAATAGCAAAAAAAAAAAAAGTAATTTTTTTAAATTAAGACAGAAAGGAAATTATTAACTTAAGATGAAAAATTAAAGATACAAAATTCTTAAAATTTAATGCATAATGCAGGGAGGTTGGAAATTGGATATTTACTTCATCATGGTATTCTCCATTCTCACCTAATTGTAAGGAAAGTGTCACGTTGTTTTAGTTACGTATGAAGTCTCATTATTTCAAAAGTGTCATTGTTTAACAGAGAATAATACCTATTTTTCACATGTTGTATGTCACTGTATCATATATCCAGCCTTTCAATATTCTGATGTTATTAACTCCTGAATTGTTCCTTTTTCTGTTATTTAGATGAATAATTTATGTAATTTTTGCTTTTCTAGGTAGTCCACAATACAGCTGTTCCCAATGCACTGGCTGTTGATTGGATTGGGAAGAATCTCTATTGGTCTGATACTGAAAAGAGAATTATTGAGGTGTCTAAACTCAATGGCTTATACCCTACCGTCCTTGTGAGCAAAAGGGTGAAGTTCCCTAGAGATCTGTCCTTAGATCCTCAAGCGGGGTATGATGCAGCCATTTTGCAGTAATTCATATTTAATCCTGATTTTATATTTAAATATTTTTATTAAAAAAGAAGAAGCTATAAAACACTAATTAGTTTTTTATTATCTGACTTTCAGCTACACTGGATATCAGTAGTCTAAATGCATTACAGTGCTTATTATATCAACGTTACATTTAAAATTGGTATAATAGAAAGATGAATGCAGGTACTAAACCATGTTTTGTTATATTTGCTACTCTGTAAATGTTTTCTTTTGGCAGCAGGAAAGCAGATATTTCAGAATATATTTTTTAAGAAATGTGTTATTAAATATCAAAAAGTTCATAGTACATGGAAGACAAAGTTCATGTTTTGTTTCGTTTATTCACTGACTTGAACTGTCTGTGGGCACTCTGTGTTTACCAGTTTCCAAAATAATTTGGATCATTCAGTTACCACGTACTTGAAGACTTTTTTTCTGATAGCTTTTGCACACTAGTTGAAGAGTGAAAATGTTTAATTCTGCATAAATTGAAGACAGCTTTTTTTTTTTACTTTATAAAATTAAAAGTTTTTCTTTTCACTCGAGTCTTAAAATTGGATGGATTAATTATTAGGATACAAGGAGTTTGTTTTAGGAGACTTATTTTCTAACTTTAGTTTTCAGAAAATTGAAGTGATCAATATGCTTGAAAAATTTATTACAACAGCAGTGATATAACTAAAAACTGAGAACTGCATTGGATTTTCCTGTAACTGTACCCTTTCCTCCCTATGAAATTTGTCAGGGAGAATGTAGACATTTGTTAAATATATTTAAGATACCAATACATGATATCTCTTTCTAGTTGGCTGGACATCCAGGATATGTCCCCTGTGTATGCAAAAATCAACTCTACAAAGTTTGTACAGAGACTCGCAGCCTTCTGGGAAGGTTTACATATACACAGGCATAATAAACTTATTGTGCCCTATGTGTTCAGAATTAGCGCTCCGAGGCCAAGCCCTGGAGTTTCGTTTGTTTGTTTATTTTAATATGGAAAGCTGCTAGAGATAAAAACTGTGTTTGCTTTTCAAATTCAGAGTTATTGTTTGAAATAGTATTAATTGTATTAATTGTATCTTAGGTTTTTTTCTTATGCCATACAACAGTAGCAACGTGCATCCATATACCAAACAATAGGATTTTTTCTTTTTTTTTTCTTTTTTTTTTTTTAATTAAACATGCTCTGTATTTTGGTTAAATAGCACATTGAAGAGAAAATTGCTACTTAGCTTTCCAACAGTCTTTCTCAGTGCTTTAAGGCTTTATGTGAGTAACTGATCTAATATTTTGGGTCTAGTACTTCTTGAAGTAATACAATTTGTATCATATTACTATTAAGAACAAAACAAGTATTTTTAATACGTGTAAAGAAAAAACTAAGACTAAGCAACTTAAATGCACTTTTTACTAGTCCAAATTAATTAGATGAAATAACACCTAACATGACAACTCTGCTCTTCAGACTCTTTACATTTAGCACTCGTTTACAGACAGGTCTAGAAAAATCCAAAACTCTACCTGGGAAACAGAAGCATTGTAGAATATTTACTGATTTATTGTTGGGATCATCTAAATTATTAGTTTGTTGTTATTATTTTTGCATCTCTAAATGAAGCAGCTGTTGTATTTTGTTTTATAGATACTTGTACTGGATCGATTGCTGTGAGTACCCTCACATTGGCCGTGTTGGTATGGATGGCTCCAGTCAAACAGTTGTCATAGAAACACAGATATCTAGACCTATGGCTCTTACAATCGATTATGTCAACCACAGACTGTATTGGGCTGATGAAAATCATATTGAGTTTTCTGACATGGATGGATCTCATAGACATAAAGGTTGGTCAACAGTGCTTTTTTTCCCCTTAAATATGTCTTTTTTTCCTTTTTGATAGTGTTTAAATTAAAGGTGATTTGCATGTTATCTGTATTTATGTAAAAATCCTGTACTTTAAAACTTTCTGAAACCTCTATTGATACATTTTTTCCTTTCAATCAATATTTTAAAAGTTGTTTTTCATATTCCTTCTCTGTTATGAATACTCTATAAACATGCAGGAAAAAAAGCATTTCCATGGAAAAAAGTCAAATGAAAACAAACTCCAGGAACGGAGTCAGCAATCGGAGGCTGCCCTGTCAGTCCTGTACTCTGTTGTATATTTGCAACACATGTCCTTGACCAAGTCACAAAGCCAGTGAAAATTGTGAAAGGGATTGGTTCCACACATGTGCCATGTGTCAGAATGTGGCTAAAAGCAGCCTTTTCCCTAGCCTGAAAATTTTGGAAATGCCCATTAGTCTGCTCAGCATGAAATAAGCAGACCACTATTGCAAATGTAGTTTTGGACGTTCCTGGGAGATGGATAAAATAACAACTTTTTAAATACTTTGGTAATGAAGTAATCTTTATCCCCTGTTTTCCGCTTCTCACCTGACAGATAATTAAAAAGCTGGTATCTTTTATCTATAGAGTGTTAAAGAAGTTTTACACTATGATGAATAGTTCTCATATTCCATAGTTAAAGATCTTTAATTCAAATATATGAAATACTCTGTATTGGTGTGTTGGCAGTTTGGGGTTTTTTTTTGTTAAGATGAAACAGTGCTGCTCGAGCTCCCTTCACAAGCTTTACCCAAACCTCAGAACTGGTAAAACTTCATGTATCTGGGCTTTTTTTAGTCTATTATCTCTTACTGGATGCCTCCAGGTTTTCTCCAAACCTAAGTTCATTAAATAACTACTTTATTTTCAGATTAGAGCTTTGCTTTGAAATAATAATAATTTTAAAAAAAATTAAAATATTTTCTAACCCTTATGTTTGTGAATAACAGGTAATAAATAGATAGTGAACAATTCAATGAGGGTTAATTGAGATGGTAGATTGGAGAGACTACACAGAGCTGTAAACGTTCCCATTAATCTCAGCATTGGCTTCCATGGTTTTTGTGAAGACCACAGGGCAGTTGTAACCTGCTCACCTGAGCAGTGGTTGCCCAGACATACCCCCGAGTGCCAGCTGGATTCCTGC